TAAAATAACGAACAAGAAATAGTTTCCAAACATCACGAAGAAAAAGAGACAGAGAAGAAGAGTGAACGAAGAACAGAAAGAACATAATGATGGAAAATGGATGAACATCGAGGACGAAAGGGGATATAAGAAAATAATAATAATAAAAACAGAAGGATCAAGCAATAAAGCGATAAAAAGAACAACAACAACAACAACAAAAGACATTAAAGACACGAAAAGGTCGATAGACTTCAATGTGAAAAAAGGAAAGGAAAAAATAACACTGATTTTCGAAACCATGTAGATAAAGAAAATGGGAATCACAACAAGGATGGAATAACAAAGGAGAGACTTAACTATTTCTCGGCGAGGAGGAAACGGCAAGGAATCAGCTCTGCATCAAGGTAGGCTTTATATATATATATATATATATATATATATATATATATATATATATATATATATATATGTGTGTGTGTGTGTGTGTGTGTGTGTGTGTGTGTGTGTATGTGTGTTGTGTGTATGCGTGTGTGTGTTTGTGTGTGTGTGTGTGTATGTGTGTGTGTGTGTGTGTGTGTGTGTGTGTGTGTGTGTGTGTGTATTAATTTTCCTCCTTGAGTGTATCTTTCACTCTTGATTAATTTCTCTCTCCATTACTTTCTAGATTTATCTCGCTCTTGATTTTTCCTATTTTCTCTTATATATAGTTATATGTATATATGTATATATATCTATCTGTCTATACATTACTGACATTTGTAGAAATAGATATGGATTGTTAGTCTTAGCAAGCCAGTGACACAAGGGTTATATTCCATTACCAAACAGCATTTTTTTTACAAGAACTGCAACGGAAATGTGTATCTTCTTACATACAGTCTGAAAACAGCAAATGGGGTGTGGACGTGTGTGCGTATAAAGCGTACGTGTCCGTGTATGCTTACGCGTGTATGTGTGTGTGTGTGTGTGTGTGTGTATGTACGTGTGTGTGAGTGTGTGTGTGTGTGTGTGTGTGTGTGTGTGTGTGTGTGTGACCATGTGTACGTGTACGTGTGCGTGAGTGTGTGTGTGTGTGTCCGGAAATAGCGCGCCACTCCTTAGGGTATAAAACTGCGGTTCGTATGGGCGAAATTTACATGTGTTTTTATGGTGATTTCGGCCTTACGCTTTGATTTCGGACGATGCGGTCTTGCTCGCAAAATGTCTTCCCTATTTCCTTCCTGTATTTTTTATTCCCTTTCTTTGTCTCTGACCGTCTCTCCCTCTCTCCCCCCCTCTCCCTCTGTCCCTTCCTCTCTCTCTCTATTTTCTTTTCTCTCTCTCTCTCTCTCTCTCTCTCTCTCTCTCTCTCTGTCTCTCTCTCTTTCTCCTTCTCCCTCACCCTCTCTCTCCCCCTTTCTTCCACGTTCTTTCTCGCTCTGTCCCTCTCTCTCGCTCTCTCTCTTTCACTCCCTCTCACCTCCTTTCAATCAATTATTCTCTCGTGTGTATGTGTGTGTATATATATGCATATGCGCATATATATGAATATATATGTATATATATACATATATATACATATATGTATATATGTCTATCTATCTGTATATCTATATCTATATCTATCTATCTATCTATCTATATTTACACACATACGCACAAACATATATATATGTATATATATATATATATATATATATATATATATGTGTGTGTGTGTGTGTGTGTGTGTGTGTGTGTGTGTGTGTGTGTGTGTGTGTGTGTGTGTGTGTGTGTGTGTGTGTCCGTGTGTATATAACACAAACTCTTCTCTCTCCCTCCTATTTCATCTCATTCTCTCTTTCTCTCTCCCCATGCCTCTCACTCCGTTTCTTTCTCATTCCTCTGCCTACAAACAAAACATTATTGCAGTATCACCAACGTCCCTGACAAGCACACGTCACCAACGACCTACGTCATTCCTCAAAAAAATGTCTATGTTACGTCTCTTATTTCTGGAATCATTTCCTTAAACAAACAAAAGATTATCTAAAAACGAAGAACTTAAGTCACGCTATTTTATGAAGCTACGTGCGTTATAAGGTAACTTTTTTTTAAGGGAACATCTGGAGGAATCTAAGCCAAGGTCGGGGTCGGTATGGACTTCGACGTATTTCATTGTTTACTTCGTGGATCGAGGTCCTCAGAGCACGGTTTGAGACACGCTCTGAAACGAAGCTTCGAAGTGAAACTGTATCATAAATATTGTTATTTTGTTATTGTCTTTGGTATTACTTCTTTCGTTATCGTTGTTTTGACTCAGTTTATTTTTCCGGGAATACGCATCTCTCATTCTCACTTGATTAGATATGAGGGAAAATTATATAGCCGTTAAAATGTCTAAGTTTCAGATGTTCGAAACTCCTAGATGCGATTCGAACACATGGCAAGCACAAAGAGATTTTGCACCGAATTACAGAACGAAATAAATTCTCTCTCTATAACTACAGGGCAAGATCATGACGCAGGATATATTCCTAAGGATATAAGGGCACTATAG